TACAGACCCTTCACACATGCAGACCCCCTTGCATGATCCCCAGCTCTCACTTCTGGTCTGTGACGATGTAGCCATACTCGTCTAGTGGCCGCATGCCCTGTTGTGCCCCACTGTCCTTCATCTCTGTGTAGCTCTTCTTCTCCACCACAATGTTCTTTCCGGGGCTGAGTGCATCCCCACTGTGTCCCTGCTGTGGCTCAGCCCGGGGAGCTGGTGAGGATGCTGCCCTGCCCTTCGTTCCTTCCCCTGGGGAGCTGCTGGCTGGGATTTTGGGGGGTGGCGCTGTGGAAGAAGGGGGCACTGGCTCCTCTCCATGCTGCATGTCCCCCTCCATCACCTGAAGGGAGAAAAAGGGAGAAGCTGGAATCTCTGGGGAGAGCCTTGGGGAAATGTCTCCTCCCTCTCATCCCACCTGTGCCATGGCACCTCCTCCAGCATCACCCTGCTGCAAACCCACCCGTTTCGCTGTGGGCATTTCGGGGCCAGCAACACCTGCAAAGGGGAGAGACAGAGGTCCTACAGCACCCACCCCAAAAGGCAACACTCCCTACCCTGAAACAGGGCATGCTAGCATCTGCTGCTGCCAGTCCCTGCTTGTCCCATCCCTGCACCCAGCTCACCAGAGCTCTGGAGCAGCTGGAGGAGGGTGGATAGGCTGCTTATCTGCTGGGGACTCAGTTCTGGCAGGCCCAGGCCATAGCTGGCCAGGAGAGAAGCCAGTCTCTTCAGGGCAGCATCTGCAAGAGGATGTAGCATCAGGTTGGGTGCTCTGCATCTGCAGGGAGACCAGGGGCCAGGGATGAAGCAGATGGAGCAGGTGGGGTTGCGGGTACATTCTGCCCATGGGCATAAACACAAAGAGGAGGGAAAGTGTGAGCCACGAGGAACTCGTGGCTGTGGATATAGGACAGGGACAAGGGTTGGTGCCTGGCTGGAGAACAAGGTACCCGTCTGTGCAGAGGGTGGCTGGGCAGCCAGGGGTGCTTGCTGCTCCCTCTCCTCTACGTTTCTGTAGTCACTGGGGAGCCGCAAGCTGTGCTGGAGCCTGGTGCTGGCAGGGTCCGGGCGGCCAGCTTTCTCTCTGGGCAGGGAAAGCATGCCCAAGTCCTGGAAAAGATGCCCCCCATCCACTCCTGGCTGCCCGCCATAGGAGGGCACAGGGCCAGCCCCAAAGAGGGTCTGGGCAGGGACCCGGCCCAGCAGCGAGGAGGTCTCAGAGCTCTGCCTGGCTGAGCCGCTGGGATGCTGGTGAGCACCGTCCTGATAGCCGAACTGCAACCAAAACACATGTCAAACCCTACAGGTCCCCTGTCACCCCACAGCGGAGGCAGGTATCCCAGCACCAGCAGAAAAGTGCTGGGAGTGCAGCAGCTCCCTGCCAATCTCTACTTTTCTGCCCAGGAGAAGGCGCTCAACCCCCAGCTTACCTTGTGGTAGGAGTAGGGATTGAGCAGAGCCTCCTCGTAGGCCAGCTGGGGTGGGGAGGGCAGCAGGACGTGCTCCAGGTACCGCTGCACCAGCGGGGAAAGCAGCAGTGCTGGGGGCTGCTCCAAATGCTGAGCTGCTGGCAGGCCGGGGTCCGGGGCCAGCGGGGCTCGCCGGGGCTCGCTGCGGAGAGGCAGGAACCTCGAAGGCAAACAGCGCTGGGGTAACTCACCTGGGTAAAGGGGGACGTCCCTCCCCTAAACCCCATCTGGGGGACAAAGCCCTCGCTGCTCCATTGAGCTCTGCCGGCGCTGTCCTACCTGTCCCTGGCCCCCGGCTCCAGCGAGGGCGGCAGGCGGAGGCGGGGGATGCGCTCCATCTCCTGAGAGATCACATACTGGGTGATGCCGTCCTGCCACGAGAGCCCTGCCATGGGAGGAGGCTGTGAGACATGGAGGCAGCCTGGGAACCGTGGTGTGAGTGCATGGGATGCCATCCTGATATTCTGACCCCGTGTCCCATGGCCGGGGTTTGACCCCACTCTTCCTCAGCCCACCCTGGGCCAGCAGGACCACAGACAGCTCTAGAGCCACTAGGCAATTCTACCTGACATCCCCTCCCTGCAGGGTCCCAGGGACTTCCCCCATGCTCCCCCACTCACCTTGTGCCATGAGATGCCGCAAGACATCCTGCAGGCGCTGGAGCACGGGAGATGTGACCTGAAAGTAGGCTCTGTCCTGCACGGAGCCCACCTGGCATTGCCCAAATAGCCCATCTGCCAGAGAAGGAAGAGAGTGGATGAACAAACCCCGATGTGAGGCTCTCCAGGCACAGCCCCACCTTTCTCCTGCCGTGCTTCCTTGCACTGCACCCCAGGTTCCCCTGCAAGGCATCTCTGTACCCTTCACACACACTTGGGAAAGGAGAGGGGATCCCTGCACTCCTGCTTGTCACTTACCCTGCACACACACCTCCTGTGGGGAGCACAGCCTTCGGTCAAACAGGCAGCCTGGGACAGACAGACAGACCAGTCAGCACAGCATTCAAGGGGGACTCCAATGGAATCTGCTCATCACCAGCTGCTTGGGGGATCCCTACGCTCCAGAAAAGCAGCATAAGGATGCAATGTGGTGATGGTGGGAGGGGACACAGCTTTGTAGCCCATGGCAGAGGCTCGTTGCCAGTCTTTTCTGCCCCTCAGGGACAAGATGGGGGCTGTGTAGAAAGTATGCCCTTGGCTCTGGAGAGTGGAGAAGGCCTGGAGTTTTTTGGGGTGCTGGCAGTTAGGAAGGTAAGACTGAGGCAGCAGAGACCTGCAAAACCACATCTGCTGCCCTCCTACATGTGGTACTACGAGGAAGGGATGCAACCCAGTGACACCGGAATCCACTCTCCCTGCAAGGCAGACCCCAAAGCATGGATGTAGTGCTGTTGGGGGTGTGGGGTGTGTACCTCTCCACCCCCTTCGGCGGGCAGCACTTGGGCAGGGGGCGGCTTCCCCCTTCCTCTCCCCCCCCGTTTCGGTCCAAGACCGTCAGCAGCGAGACGGCAGCAGGCGATGACTCAGCCCCGGATGGCAAGGAATGAACGAGAAAACAACCGGGGGGAGGGGAGGGAGGGGCCCGTCAAGCCCGCCGCGGAGGAAGGGGGCTAGTGGGGATGAGGGTCCTCGAAACCCCGGCACCCCGGGCCGGCGTCCCCCGGGGCGGAGGCCCCGCCGGTGCGGGTCACAGGACCCACTGCCGGGAGAGACCCCAGGAACGGCGGCAGCGGGGCCGGGCCGGGCGGCAGGGCCGGCGCTGTCCGCGGTGCTGAAGCGGCGCAGCGTTCTCCCGCCGAGACGCCGCGCTCCGCCGGGAGGGGCGGTGGCCCCAGCTCCGGGAGGCTCCCCCGGCCAGGACGGGGCTCGGCCGCAGCCGTGCCGGCACCATTCCCTGCTTGCTCCCGGGGGCAGCGGGCCCTCGCGGTCCAGCCGGATCCATCCCGGCACTCCCGGGCCGCTGGAGGACGAGGGGCGCAGCAGCCTCCGGCTCCCGGTAGTGAGTCAGCGGAGCCGGGGCCGTGCCGTGCCGTGCCGGTGGGCTGCAGCCCTGCTGTCGACAGCGACACTCGGGTTCCCGAGAGCTCCAAGCACGGACCACACGGACCGACCTGGAGAAGAGCGGGTGCACCGGCCCGGGCGGCCGCACTTACAGGCGGAGGGCGGCTAAAGGGCGGCATGGGGCCGGAGCAAGCTACGCTCAGGGTCGCTGGCCCGGGCTCCCCATCCCTGCGGCAGCCCCAGGCACTGGCTTTGCCCCGGGCATGAGCAATCACCGTTCCGCTCCCGTCCCGTAGCTGCTGGCTCTCGGGCCCGGCGGGGCGGCACCTCTACAGCCGGCGGGGTGTCCCGGGTTTAGCACACCCACCACCGGCCCGGCAGTCCCGGGAGAGGGGCGCCCCCGGTGCCAGTGGCGCACCTGCGGTGCCGGTCCTGGGCCGCCCAGTCCCGCTATCCGCCAGGGGCCGGACTCGCCGCTGCACGCCGTGACAGCACCCTACAGCGGCGGCGACCGCACCGGCCGCGGAGTCCCGTGCCCCGCCACTCCCCGGGAACCTCCTTCCGGCCCTCGCGCAGCCCGGGGCAAAGCCGCCCTGCCCGGGGTCGCGGTCTCACCGTGTGCGGCGGTGGCGGCGGCGGCGCCGTCACGCAGCTGCCCGCGGCCGGCCAGGAGGAGGAGGCAGAGGAGCGCCCGGAGGAGCCGCCGCCCCATGCTCCGCTCACGGCCGCACCATGGCGCACCCGCCGGCCGCGCCCCCGCCGCCGCCGCCAACCCGCGCCCCGCCGCGCCGCGCGCCCCGCCCGCCGCCACCGCCCCCGCCAATGGCGCGCTGCGCGCTGCCGCGGCGCCCCGCCCCCCCGCGCCGCGGCCAATCAGGGACCCGCGCGGCTGCCCTCAGCGCCGCGCTCACGCCCCGCGCTGTCCGGCGGGGCCAATCACGCCTCGCTCCGGGGAGAGGAGGCCGAGCGCCCCGCCAATCGCCGCGTCCCCGGGGGCGAGCCACGCCCCCCCGGGGGTGTGCCACAGCGCCAGGAGCGCCCCCGCCAATCAGCGCCCGCCTCTTCCCTGCCCTGCGGCCGCACTGGCTCCCGCCTGTGACACGCCCCTGAGAGCCGCCCAATGAACGGCGAGCGCGGAGCCGCACCCTCGTACCCCGCCCGGCGGCACCGCCCGGGCATCGGCCGCGGGCAGAAGGCAGCTCCCGGCCCAGGCACGGACCCCCTGTCCCAGCCCCGGCGAGCAGCTCCGGGTCTGGCGCCAGCAGATCCCTGCGCACACGGCCGCAGGCTCGTTCCTGGGGAAAGGGGCGGCCCCAGCGCTGCACCAGACCGGACATCCTCCCGCCAGCTCTCCCTGAGGAAAAGCCGAGCCCTGTTCGGCCCCTTAGCTGGGACCTCCAGCACCCCTCGACAAGGGATTGTAGATGGGTGAATAGGCCTCGCTTATGGGTCCAGAGGAGAGCACAGGTGGGAGCCATGGGAGTCCCCAGGGGGTGCCACCTACGTCAGCCCCAGCTAGTCATGGACCACTCGCTGGTGAGACAGAAATGCTTTAATGGCCCCAGGACTAAACCCCACTGCTACTGCCTCCCCGCCACGTTCAGTCGACCACCAGGCTGTTGCTGACCGTCGGCAGGAGCTCGAAGAAGCCCTGGAAGAAGAGAGGCTGTCAGGGTGGGCCAAGCAAGGCGGTGCGGGGTGAGGGGACAGGCAGTGGGGGCAGGCAGCAGCTCCCTGTCACAGCGTCATAGTAGGCAGCTACTTGCAGAGAGCAGGACCACGTCGCCATAGTAACCCATCGCTGACTCAAGGCTAGCACTGGTTGCCATAGGAACTACTTAGAGATGGCAGTCACTGGGGAAGGCTGGGATGAGAGGGGGCACCTCCGGAAGCAGCCAGTACCTGAGCTGCTCCAGAGAGCTGGAGAGCTCTGTGGGATGGCTGGGTTCAGCCCCAAAGCAGGGATTGGTTGGGGACATGGAGATGTGGGAGATGAAGAGAAGCAAGGAGTGAGCTTTAGCACAGGATGGGGGCCACAGGGCTCACCTTGAAGAGGGTGATGCTCTGAAGCACCCCTGAAGTGCAGCACATCTCCCGGATGGAATGCATGGCCAGCTGCGGGCAGCCAATGTCCAGCACACGCAGCCCCAGGCGGGAGGCCAGGATGGGGCCGATGGTGGTGCCGCAGGGTGTGTCGTTGCGCACCATGAACTCCTGCGTGGGAACAAGACCTCAGCAGCTCCACATGCTACCCCACGGCCTCCCACACGGGCCCTCAGCCCTGAAGGGAGGTGACCTGGGGCAGGGAAGCAGCACCGACCCATGCCAGGGTTCAAAGAACGCTCCAGAGATAGGACACACTCAGGCCAGGCTCCATGCTGCTCACCAGCCTGCTCCCTGAGGCAGTTCTGGGGCTGGAGCCCCACAGCAACAGGCAGCACAGAGACCCCAGTGGGGTCAGACATAGTAACAGGGGTGGAGCTTTGGCACAGGCCCCCTCTGATGAACCCAGGGCAGGGCTGCAGCCCAAACTTCTGATGTTCAAGGAGGGCTCACCCAGTCCTGCTCACCTGCAGAGGGACACCCACGCGGGCAGCAATGTCCCGGATTACAGCTTCAGTGACAGCCGTGGAGGCGTAGCGCTGGTTGCTGTTCACTTTGATGACAGGGCCCTGCACAAAGGAAGGCACCGCAGGCCCGTGATGGGACCCAGGAACAGTCAGTGGCCCTGGAAACACCCATGTCCAGGCAATGCCCAACATATCATCCATTCTCCCTTTCCTGGGTGAGCCCATGGGGATGGGGACAGTGTTTCCATGGGGACAGCCCCAGCTCAGAGCAGGGAGGAGCTCTATGGACAAGACTGGGATCCCAAGTGATTAACATCAGACATGTGGCATAGTCAAATCCCATTGCAGGATAAACATTTTCCATTTGAATGCTGGGTTGCAGCGCTGCAGGACAGACAGACAGCAACCATCCTAGACCCAAGCAGAGGGCTGCCCTCACCTTGTGGAAGGCTGGACGATGATTCTCCTCATGCTTGTCCCTGCAAAAGAGAAGTGTTTCACACTCTTACTCATACCCTGCTGCAACAAGGACTGTCTTGTCTGTACCACCTGGGGAGTGATGGGGATACATCCCACAGGTGGCAGGGCAGGCTGTCAGGCCTGTGGCACGTCTCAGACTACTCACACATAATTGGGGTGCACAGCATGGGCCATATCAGCACTGATCATGTAAGACTTGGCCACTGCCTCCTCGAAGGCTGTCAGATTGTGCGGCGACGCAGAGATCCGGCGCAGCACCAGCTCCGTTAGCAAGGACTCTGCACCCTGTGCACTCTCTGACCCTACCTGCCAAGGATCACCATCAGCACAAGCCTGCAGCACCACAGGGGCCAGAGGAGTGACAGGCTGCTCCCTAAGGCCAGCCAAGCAGCTTCCTGCCACACCAGTGCTTCCCACCCCTGCCTGGGCCATGCTCCACGTGGCTGTAAGCAAATCCCTGTTTCCTCCACTGGGCTGTGGGATCTCTCTCCTGCTAGGATGCTCTCTCCAATGCTAGGCATGGCTGGGGAAGAGCAGAGAACATGGACCACCTTCTGGTGCCAGCCACCCCATGGCTGTGGCCCTCGCTCACCTCCTCGTTGTCATAGAGCGCGATGAGACGCACATTGGGCTCCTCGGAGAGGGATGAGGGTGCTGCACATGAGTCAATCAAGGCCTGCAGGATTAGGGAGGAATGGACACCAGCATGAGTACCACTCCATCCGGGCAATCTCATGACTGAGCCATCAGGAAATCCCCCAGGAGAGCCCAAAGCATGGAGGAAGGGAGCTGTGGGCACACACATTGCCCAGCGACAGCAGGAGTCACCCCTGCGAGCTGCTGGGAATCCCACACACCCAGCAAAGGGGGCATCCAACCCCAGCTCCTCCAACTGTCTAGACCCATTCCATGAGAACACAACTCCCTGCAGAGCCTTTGGCCAGCCCAAAGCTGAGCTGGGGTGCACGGGGGCCATGCTGCAGTCTCCAGGTTGTTTCCCCTCTCACCTGCAAGGCGCAGTAGCAGCTGTGCAGGTTGTCCAGACGTGGGGAGAAGATGAACTCATCGAAGGCACCACCCAGCGTCTGCAGAGAGCCAAGAGGAGTAGGGCACAAGCTCTGGGTCACCAAAAAGTACCTGCCACTGGGTTCCCATTCCAGTACCCTTATCTCTGCCCCTCAGGAGCAGCTCCCTCTAGTTCCATTGAGCTCCCAGCCCTGGCACACCCCAGGCAAAAGACACGCACCAGGTAACACCAGTGTAGTGCCAGATTGTAGGCTGTGTGCAGACAGAGGGAGGTTTCTGCCCTTACTCACCGCTGGCTGTGTATCTGCCAGGCATAATTCCATCTCCACAATCTGCTCTGGTTTCACCCCCAGCTGGGGGCAGATCAGGGAAAGCAGAACAGGACTGTGCCGCTCTGCCTGGGAAGAAAGCAGAGCTGTGGGCAGGGCAGGCAGTGGATGGCAGGAGAAACTCCTGGTTTCCCTTTGCAAAGCTGTCCCTGACCCTGCTTCTATTGGCAGAGTCCTCTCTCCTACTGACATCTCCCATGTTCAAGCCCCCACCTCACCCAGCACAGCTCTATGCCCTGTGCTAGCCCCCCTCCCTGCCCTGCCTCCTCAGGGACATGTACCCTTCCACACTGGCTGCAAGCAAGGGTGAGAAGAGAGAGACGGCTGAACAGATGTGCCGTGTACACAGCTGTGAGGCAGAGTGGAAGGTTACCAGCAGTCCACAGGGAGAAGGGGAACTGGGAGCAGGTCCCTGAGGACTCAGAATCAAAGGTGACAAGTATGAGGTCCTTGCAAGTGTCCCTGCTGATCCTTGGCACACAGCTCACCTGGGCCGCAGCACTGCAAGGTGTGGACTCCATAAGCACCTCCTTTTCCAGCTCCTCCTGCACTGCAGTGGCCAGAATTGGAACCCTGGGGGGGGTCAGCAACATTAGCTCCTAGAGCTTTGCTCACCTCACCTGCTTGGGTCACACATTGCCAACCCTTCCTGGTGTGTTTGCCTTCCTCCTCCAGGTAATGACTGATATGCCAAATGGAAGAAGAATGCGCATTTTAAACATGAATCTATTGTGCCACCTCAGGACACTCCAGCGTGCTTTCCCAAATGCTTGGAAGCATCTCCTGGAAGTACTCTATGGGGCTAAAAGCCACTGCAGATCTCCCCACTGCAATGAGTGGCTGCCAAAGGGAGAGCTAAGGCGGGGCTTTGCTCTAGCTGGGTCCCAGCCCTCCCAAGGGCTGGCCAAGACTCGGGGCTGAGCCACGCCTTACAGGTGGTGCTCGGTGTTGGGTCCGAAGTTCTCATTGATGCTGCGCTGCAGATGGATGGCCAGGTGAGGAATGCGGAGGACGGGCCGCTCCACACGTACCAGGCGCTGCTCCAGGCGCCCCGTGGCTGGGTCCTGAAACACAAGGAGGCCTTCTGGGGCCAGGCCTGCAGAGCTGAGAGGCTGCAGCAGGTCCCACTCTGTGTACCCAGTGCCAGAGACACACAGCTATCCAACCATGAGTGCCCTAAATCAGACTCACCTTTATGATCACCCTCCCGGCCACGGTGAGGTCACGGTCGAACCAGGTGTTCCAGATGCCCCCTCCATAGGTCTCCACTCCAACTTGCACTATGCCCACCTGTCCCCTCTTAGAGCGACGCTTCACCTGGGCAACAGCAGAGGTGTCACTGCTGGCACCATGAAGCGCTGGGGAACGGGCAGCTGGTGGGAACTGGGCAGCTCATGCCCAGAGCCTCACTGCTGATGCTGCCAGCATAGGGTGCTGTGAGGGGCTTTGCAGGACCGGGGACACAGAGGGGACAGCAGCAGGCAGAGCAATGCAAGGGCTGCTCTGGGTGATACATTTGGGAGGTGTAGGGAGCCAACAATGATGCTGCAGGGCACAGGGGTAGTCAGGACAGTTTTTGCTTGTGGCATGAAACTGGAGAACCCCAGAGAAAGACTCAGCACCCAGCTGGGCGACCTTACCCTGAGGCAGGGGCTATCGGTGTGGGCTCCTAGCAGGCTGAACCCATTCCCGGGCTGGAACTGGCCGCCGACGGCGAAGGCGATGAGGGTGGAGTAGTTCCTGGTGATGAAGTACTGCAGGCAGAGGGGTAGAGTTGAGATGCCCCGTCCACCCCGGCTCCCGCTGCCCCCTCCCAGCCGGGCCCACCTTCTGCGCCGGCCGCACGTCCCAGTGCTCCGTCTCCTTCAGCTCCTGGAAGCCAGCCTGCAGTAGCCGGCTGCGGCATTCGGCCACCACTGAGGGGAAAAGAGCCGTCAGGGCCGCCCGCGGGAAGAGGAACAGGGCCGGGGAAGGGAGCGGGCGGGCGCTCACCGTGGTACGGCGACGGACTGCGGTTCACGAACTTCACCAGTTCCTGCGCCGCCGCCTTCGAGCCCTGCGCCGCCGCCTGTGGGCACCGCCGTCACCGCACATTGCCGGCAAAACCCCGCCCCGGGCCGGGACCCCCGCGGGACCTGGGACCCCGTCCCGGGCGGCACCGACCCGACCCCGTCCCGCGCCCGCCGCCCGCCCGCTACCTGCATGGCCGCCACCGCCCCGCGCCGGCCCGAACAGCGCCCCCTGCTGGCCTGGAGGAACGCGCGGCCTGCACCCGGACTCCGAACTCTGCACCCTGCAATCCACACCCCGCAATCCGCACCCTGCACCCGGCCCTGCACCTCGCAATCCACACCTTGAACCCTGCAATCCACACCCTGCACCCGGCCGTGCACCTCGCAATCCACGCCCTGCAATCTGCACCCTGCACCTCGCAATATGCACCCGGCCCTGCACCCTGCAATCAGCACCCTGCACCCCGCAATCCGCACCCTGCACCCCGCAATCCACACCTTGAACCCCGCAATCCACACTCTGTACCCTGCAATCCACACCTTGAATCCCACAACCCACACTCTGTACCCTGCAATCCACACTCTGCATCCTGCAATCTGCACCCTGAACCCCGCAATCTGCACCCGGCCCTGCACCCCCCAATCCGCACCCTGCACCCCGCATTCACCCCCTGCACCCCGCAATCCACACTCCACAATCGGCAATGTGCACCCTGTGACCCCAGGATCCACACCCTGCACCTCCCACACTACACCCCCCGCCATGCACTTTGCACTCTCACCCCGCACCGTGCAATCCACACCACGCACCCCTCACCCTGCACCCTGGTCCAGGCCAGGCAAACACAGAGCCTGACAAGGCTGGGGTACAGCTGAATTAAGGGTGGGTGGAAGAGGGACACAGCCAGGAGGGGCGGGGGTGGGAAGCAAGGGGCAGGGACAGGCTCCACAACGATGGTCACCCATCCTGCCCTGGTGTGCCACAGTTCTAGGGCTAACTGGGGGAGCAGGGACTGCCCCAGAATGGGGCTTGGCCTGCCTGCAGAGGGGTGCAGGTGCACAGGAAAACACACTCGCTTCTCCAAGGCTAGGTATATTTGGAGTGGGGTGGGTCCAGGCCAAGCTGCAGCCCCCCATCGTTGTTGCTCCCCTGCCTTGGCACTGCCTGGCCCCCACAGGAAACAAGGCACAAATCCGTGGTGCCATGTTGGAGACAAAAGTCTCTGAGTGACAGCAATGCACTGGGTTCTGAGCATTGGCACGGTGGCAGGGCAGCACCCAAGCTGCCTGTCAGCCCCAGGGGCATTGCTAGGAAAGGACCCCAAGGGATAGGACCCCTTGGCCTTGCATGGATTAGGGTGCCTCCCGTCCTTGTCTGGGTTCCCTTAATGGGCTGGATGCAGCAGCAAGGTTTTGGGTTTCAATCAGTCTTCCTGCATCCTTTCTTCCTAGCAATGGGTATGTGGCCTTGGGAGATGGACATGGCAGCCTGTGAGTGCTGCATGGGGCCCAGGTGTTGGGTGCCAGCTGGATTCCCAGCTCCTGAGTCACCCATGTGGGCACCCTGTTAGTTGGAGACGCTGTCCGTGTTCCGAGCACTGGAAACTGGTGGTCCTGTTGCCCCTGACCCTGTGACCTGTCATGCTGAGAGCTCCTGACAGCTCTGGATTTATGCTCCTAGCCCCAAACACCTGCCTCTCCCCACCACCAAATGGGAACGAGCTCTCCCACTGCCTGGCACCCTGCAAACAGACAGCTGGAGGGTCTCCATGTCAACCACACACAACACAGGGCCAGGCCTCCCAGGCCAGGCTGGAACCCGGCTGGGAGCAGGCTGGGAGCACCCAGCACTCCAGCCCAGAGCTGGGATACGTGTGTCAAAGGGACTTGTGTGCCAGGCAGCATCCCCACGCTCCTCCTGCCAGCATCACTCCCCTGCTGCCAGAACCCAGCTCAGGGCCAGGTGCTCTTGAATGGTTCCCAGGCTGTGCCTGAGGGACATCTGAGGACATTTAGAGCCCTGGCTCCCGAGCCAGTGGATGCCCAGAGCGGATGGGTACCCAGTGGGTGCTCAGGATGGATGGTTCCCGAGGTGTGTGTGTGTGCAGGGATAGGGCGTGCCGGGCTCGGGGGTGTCAGAGCAGCAGTGAGTGGCAGGGCCGGGTGTGGCCTCCGTCTAGCCCCGCCGCTGTGAGCAAAGGGCGTGCCACAGCTATTCCCGGCACAGCGGGACTTCCCGAAAAAGCTCCTGCTGGCTATATCCGGGTGGGCTCTGACTCACCCCTGGCTGGGCGCCAAGGGCTGCACAGCACCTGCTATGGTTGCCCCCTACCCCATCACCGTGCTCCTTGGAAGACAGTGCTGCTGTCCCCCATCCCGTGTTGCCCCACGGATCATCCAGTGCAGTGGGGGGCCACAGGCAGCCCTTCCAAAACGAAATCAGCTTCTCCTCTGCATTTATGCACCCTGCTGCTGGGCTCATGTGTGCCCAGGGGTGCCTGGCAGGGAAGGGCAGTAGGGACAGGGCACTGTGGTCCTTCCTATGTCCCCTGGCAGCCCAGGTGGGGCTCTGGGCAGGTTTTGTAAGAGAAGTGTTCCCTGCTGGCTCTGGGGATGGGCAGGCAGTGCTTAGCCCTCCCTGCTGGAAGGGGTTAATGGAAAGATGGCCCAGGACAAAGACTGTAAACACAGCAGAGATCCAGGAAGTGCCACCCCCTTCTCCCAGGGCCTGCCAGGCTGCCTGGACCCCCCCTTGCCAGCCCTGCCAGGAAGAGCAAAGGGATGGCATCCATCGAGGCGGTCCCCCGCATCCCGGCCCACGTGTCTGAGCATGGGAAAGTGAAATCAGCGCCCAGGAATTGCAGGAGGCTGAGCGAGCGGCCGCCGTGCCTTACGTGAGCCACCAGCAATGCAGTGGGTGCTGCTACCTCATCTCACTGGCATGGCTGATGCTATCGAGGCCTGCAGCATCCCCATGGACACTCAGCCGCTCCGTCATCCCCACGGCCACGTGCATCACAAGGGCAGCTGGGCAACTTTGGCATCTCCACACCACTGGGCAGGTGAATAGGGATATTCACCTGGACCATGAGGGCAGGACACCCTTTAGCCTGCCCCTAGGCAGTAGGGATGGGGGAACATCCCCAACATCCCCATGGACCACAGGGCCAGCTGTAGAGGAGTGATGGAGCAGGGGTATGAGTCAAGCATCTGCATGGACATGGAAGTAGCTGGTCTCACCCATCACCTACACAACTCAGGGCAACAGCTCACCCCCAGCATGCTCGTCAAACATGGGGGCAAAAACTTGCCCAGAGGACATACAAAGACCAAAGGAGGTGAGCAAACACCTCCCAGCATCTATACAGGTTGCATCTGGACACCCCTGGCATCCATGCTTGCCGTGGGGGCATCCAGGCACCCCGAGCATTCTGTGCCACTCACAGACAGGACAACGTCCTCAGCATCCCCATCGCCTGGGGACATGGGGGTGGGCACCAGGAGCAGACAGACAGTCTGTGCACCCCCTGTGTCCTGAGCTCTGGAATGGGCAAAGGCATGGGCGCAGCTGGGATGAACAGCGGCTGTGGAGGGACTGCAGACTTTACCCACCAGTTCCTGGGACCCCAGCAGGCCAGGCTGGGCCTTGCTCCAGGCAGGCAGGGAGAGCCACCTCCTATTTAGACAATAGCATGCACCATGGATCCGTCAGCACTGGGGAATGGGCCACACACTCCTTCCCTCTTAGGGTAAAGGCGCCTGGGAGGCTCATGGCTGTAAAAGGAGCGGGATGAAGGAAGACAGCCAGGGGTCAGGAGGGAGGGGAATGGACACCCCCGCTGCTTCATTCCCATTCTCATTCCCATCTCTCAACTCACCCTTGAGCTAAGGCCAGGCAAAAGGGGGCATTGGGTCCTGGTGGCAGGGCATAGGGACAAGGAAGGGCCAGCACCCTGTCCCCACATCCTGTCTAGCTTCAAGCCCCAAGACACCCACAGCCCAAGGAGGCTGTGCTGGGTTTAAATCCTGGGGGAACGGCAGGGAGGGAGGGCCAGGAGGGAGGGGCGGCTGCAGGATGCAGCTGGCTTTGCTCACAGGGATGTCATGACCAGAGGGAGTCGTTTGACATTCCAGCTCCAAACGCCTTCCCGGCAGCAGTCTCATCCAAGATTTGATGGAAACTGGGACCAGGCCAGAGCAGGGGTTCAGGAGCCACTTCCCAGGCTCCACTGGTCTGGGTCAGCCTGGCCTGGGATGGAGCTGTGGGGAGGCTGCACAGGCAGGACAGGAGAGGAGGCAGCCCTGCTCTTCTGGCCTCCGCAGCCTCCTCACGTTCTGCAGCCTCTGGGTCTGCAGTTGGCACAGAGTGTTTGGCATCTTGTCCTTGGGACTCAGTCAGGGTCTCTGGTCCTGCTCTTCATCCCTCCTTCCTGGCATGCTGAGTCCCCCAAGCAGACGGGGATTTCCTAAGAGGCTTGTCCACCCTCTGCAAGACATGGGGCCCCTGCTTGCTCAGAGCCATGCCGGAAGGCTGTCACCACAGCTGAGGAAAAGCCACTTCAAACAGGCTGCCCTAGAGGAGGGTCAGGAGGATGCTCCTAGTTAACCCCTCTGAGCTGCTTCCCCTCCAAGCAACAGTGCCCAAGAGTGCATTTCCCCTCCCTGGAGCACCCCAACCCTGCCCCAGCCTGCTCTGTGGGATGAGGATGGGAACAGGGGCTACCCAGGCCTGAGATGGGATTTGCATCACCTTTTCATTACCTGGAACCTACCAGGGCAGGGAGCCAGGCACTTCTGGACCCTATCCCTGAGGAGTCCATCCTCCCCACAGTCCCAGCTGGCACAGCAGTGGGGTGGGGTCATGGAAACGGATGGCTGAACTCTGTTCCTGGTGGTGTGCTGTCCCAGATGCCCCTCACAGGGCACCCACCTGCCCCTCTGCACTCTAGCTAAGGGCCACTTGCTGGAACTTGCGGCACGGGCAGGGCACACGTGCGGCGCTCTGGGATGTGCAGGGCATACTCGGAATGGGGCCAGAAGGAGGAAGGATGCTGTCTGTTTTTCCATCTACTCTCCCCCCACAAGCCCCCCCTTTCTTCCATTCTCTCCCTGAGCTGGGATGAAACAACTTCATCTGGAAATACCTTCCCTTTTAAAGGCAGGCTCCTCCAGGCAGCTTGTACTCTCTGGGAAGACGCTACATCACTCTGCAATGGGAGGCTGGGACAGGCTCCAGGGATGGGGGCTTGGAGAAGCAGGAGGGATGCAGGGCACCTCCCCACCTGCATGTCTGTGGGACCCAAACTTTATCTGGCTGCCCAAGTGACATGGAGCAGAGCAGCAGGGGGGAGTTCCTCCCAGAGCCAGGGCAGTGGAAAATGCTTCCATGAACAAGCCTGAGCCTTTGCCTGATGCTGATGCTGCCATGGGTGAGCCGTGGCATTGCTTTGGCTTCTGTGTTACAGCCAGGACAGAAGGCTGGGAGGTGCAGGGCCAGGCAGGGCTGAGTGCTGTCCTGCTGCTGAGTCACCCTGTGCCCAGTGGCACAGCGGTCCCCTCCAACAGGGCCTTCAGGGACAAAGGCACTGGGGCTGAGCCAGCTGACGTCAGCCAAAACAGCCCAGCTTGGGCAGAGCTGGGGGTCACCAGGTGTGCTGGGGGTCTGGGGAGGAGGGGGTGCTGCCCAGGCAAGGGGAGCCCTCATGAGGGTTTCCCCCAGCATAGGTGCCCTCCCTCAGGATGTTCTTTTCAGCTGTCGTGGGTTTATGCAAGGCCCTGAAGGTCCCTGACCTGACCCAGTACTTGTGCAGGAAGCTGTAGTGGGGCTTTTCAGATGGACTTAGAAATTCCCCATTCTGGGAGTTTCTGGGGAGCTGGGCTGGGCTTTCTGATCCCCAGTGTACTTCCTGGCCAAGGGGGAGACTGAGGAGATGGGGCAGAGCCTGCTGTGCCTTGGGATAATCTGGGGACCGCATTCTGCTCTTAGGGTGACTGGGATCAGAGAGGGGCTAGGGCTGCTCCAGGCAGGGTCCCCATCCAGCTGTGCTCTCCACACGCCTGGAGCAAGAAGGGTTAACAGAGTGCCTCCCCCACTATAAATACCACGTTTGTGTGTCCCACACCCCACGAGTATGAGCTGGGAAGGCTATTTTGGTTGAGTGCCTGCTGCTTTGGGAATGTGCCGGAGCGAGGACAGGGGCTGACGTCACCGTCACTGGGGCTCGGACCCAGCACCTGCTCGGGGTCACTCAGCAGCACTCCAACAGCACCCAGACCCTGGCCAGTGCTCAGCCCCCCCTGTCAGAAAGAGGGTTTAGGTGGTGGGTCAGTACAAGCACACTCAGGGCAGGGGTGCCCCCACATCAGCTCCTCTCCAGGCCCTTCCTTGCTCACTCTCTGGAAGGGAGTCTGGCCCCACATGGAGACCTGAGCCTGGTGCTCTTGCCAGGGGGTGGGTCAGGGCATCATCAGGGCCATTTGGGGTGCTCAAGACCAATTTGGGGACCACAGCTACATGGCATGGGGTTCGGCTCAAGGGGGTCAAGTGATGCTGTGAAGGTTCCCTTCTTTCCTTTCATGACGTCAGCCTAAGCTCTCTGTCTGTCTGTCCGGGCCCCCTTTGGGTGGCCCTACATCCCGATAGGGGGTTCACCACCAGTCTGCCCCACTTCCTCCCCTCGCACCCCCAGGGACGGGGCAAGAAGAGCCTCCCAGGGAGCTCGGGGGGTGCCCGGGGCTCCTCGTCCGCCGGGGGGTGCGCGCAGGTGAGGGGCAGTGGGCGGGGGCTGCCGGCCCTCTCCCCCCGGCAGCATCCCGCAGCTGCCCGGCGGCAGGAGGGGCGGGGATGTCAGCAGGATACAAATAGCGGCGCGCGGTCCCCTCCCGACGCCTCTCCGAGCTGTGCCGGCCGCTCGCCAGCCCTCTGCCTGCTCCCTGCTCCGGCCTCGCCTCCCCACGCCGCCACCATGAGCCAGTCCTACTCCTCCAGCCAGCGGGTCTCTTCCTACCGCCGCACCTTCGGCGGCTCCCCGGTGTTCCCCCGAGCCTCCTTCGGGAGCAAGGGCAGCAGCGGCAGCTCCGTCACCTCCCGCGTCTACCAGGTGTCCCGCACCTCGGCCGTGCCCAGCCTGTCCACCTTCCGCACCACCCGCGTGACGCCCCTGCGCACCTACCAAAGCGCCTACCAGGGCTCCGGGGAGCTGCTGGACTTCAGCCTGGCCGATGCCATGAACCAGGAGTTCCTCCAGACCCGCACCAACGAGAAGGTGGAGCTGCAGGAGCTCAATGACCGTTTCGCCAACTACATCGAGAAGGTGCGCTTCTTGGAGCAGCAGAACGCGCTCATGGTGGCCGAGGTGAACCGCCTGCGGGGCAAGGAGCCCACCCGCGTGGCCGAGATGTACGAGGAGGAGCTGCGGGAACTCCGGCGCCAGATTGATGTGCTCACCAGCCAGAGGGCTCGTGTGGAGGTTGAGCGTGACAACCTGCTCGATGACCTGCAGAAGCTCAAGCAGAAGTGAGTAGGGGGGCCCTGGAGAGTCCCTGTGGGCATCTATCCGTGCGTCTCCATCCCTAGGGGTGGGTGGGAGCTGAGCTTGCCCAGGCATCTCTTCAGGTGCTTTCTGCCACCCTCGTGCCTTGTGCTCAGAGCCCACCATGACCCCAGTACTCTGTCCCCATTGACCACTTTCTGGGCAGCACCCGGAGGGGAGAGTGGCTCCCAGAGCAGGGGTGTCCCATGTGCTGTCCCCTGCAGTGAGGCTGAAGCCGGGCTGTGACACCACAGGACTGGGAGATCAAAGTGCACCTCACCCCGGGGTGCCCATCTCTGCTCACAAACATATCTCTGCTCACACAGGGCTGCTGGGCCCACGGGAGGGCTGAGCTCTGTGGGATGGATGGACAGACAGATGCAGGCAGGCAGAAGTGAGGAGATGGGTGACCCAGGGAAGGTGCTCTATCAGCTCCAGATGTGAAGGAGGGCGGGGAGGAAGCAGCTGCACTTCCACAGGCCAGGCCAGGGATGCTCCAGGCCTGCCGTGAGTGTCCATGGTGCCCTGTGAGCAGTGGGACACTCCAGCAATGCTGTGCACTTGGCTGGTGCTGGGGAAGAGAGTGGGGATTATTCACAAGGGTGGCCAGGCTGAGGGAACCCCCAGGGACTGATGAGCGTGGGGAACCTGGCAGTAGGGGCAGATACTCAAGGGGAGCTGTGTGTTCTGATGATGGTCTGCACTTTCCCTCCTGGACCCTGTGCCCTGGGGACACCATTCCCTCGGGGTGACACAGCCTGCTGCCCCTTTCTGTAACCCCAGCCACCACCACAGGCGGCCAGCGCTGGGGTCCTCCCTGTTGCTGGGGAGCTGGAGGAGGGTGGCATGGAGGAACTCTCAGTGACAGGGGAGGAGCAGGGCCCAGAACAAACGGGTGTTGGGTTTCTGCCACCCCATGTGCCAGCACCACCTGGGCGCCTCCATCTCCTCCCCGCTGCCTTTCCACTGACATGCAGCCTGTGTTACTGATCCCTTCCTTGACACAAGCCTGAATGTCCAGCCCTGACCTGTGCCTCCCCCACAGCAGTCCCCACCTCACATCCCATCCCAGAGCATTGCTGAAACCTGTCTGTGCTGCTGCTCTCCCTGGGATAGCTCAGCTGGTGGCCATCTCTTGGACTCCCTATGTTGGATCCTGCGCTCTGTCCCCCCAGCTGCTGGTCACTCTCCCCTATAAGGGCTGGGGCAGTGTGCGTGGCACTGAGCTGACCTCATGTCTTTGTGATCTCTCTGGCGTTGACTATAATAGGGAATGGGAGGAAGAGCCCCTGGCCCCCCGCCAGTCCCCTGCTGCCTGCCGGGAACACAGGACAATCTGTTTTCTTCCTACCGGGCCATGCTGGGCTTAAGGACAGCTCCCGGGGACATTAACACGGAGGGAGGGAGCTCCCTCCAGATCCCCTAGTCTCCCTTCTCTGCCTACAGGCTGCAAGAGGAGATCCAGCTGAAGGAGGAGGCTGAGAACAACCTCGCTGCATTCAGAGCTGTGAGTACCTGTCCCCTTAAGTGTGGCATGGGAACCCTACCCTCCCTCCCACCCCAGTCTCCCCCCAGCACCAGGGCAGAGTCCTGGACACAGCTTTGCACCTTCCAGCCCTCGTGCTCTCCCTGCCACCCCTCACTATTCCTCATTCTGTGTCCCTCCCAGGATGTGGATGCAGCCACACTAGCACGCATTGACCTGGAAAGACGGATCGAGTCCCTGCAGGAGGAGATCGCCTTCCTCAAGAAGGTGCATGAAGAGGTAGGTCAGAAGTGGCACCCTTTTCCAATGGCACTCACGGGGTGGTGAAAATGGAGTGGGTGCCCTGAGATGTCGCCTTGTCCACGCAGGAAATCCGGGAGCTGCAGGCACAGCTGCAAGAGCAGCACATCCAGGTGGAGATGGACATCTCCAAGCCTGATTTGACGGCTGCGCTGCGGGACATCCGTGCTCAGTATGAGAGCATTGCTGCCAAGAACATCGCCGAGGCTGAGGAGTGGTACAAGTCCAAGGTGCGGGAGGCAGCGGGCTCCGGCTGGCCCCAGCGCTGCGGGCTCCACCTGGGGGCCATCCCCACTGACCCCAGGTGCTCTGTCCCCAGGTGTCTGACCTGACACAGGCGGCCAACAAGAACAACGATGCGCTGAGGCAGGCCAAACAGGAGATGCTGGAGTACCGGCACCAGATCCAGTCCTACACCTGCGAGATTGATGCCCTCAAGGGCACGGTGAGCTAAGGGCAGCACTGAGAAATCCCCAGCTTCCCTGCAGGGACCTGCTGCTCCAAGGCTGCTCAGGGACATCTCTGGGGTGGGGGGCTCTTCCCAGCTCTCTGAGTTGCTGCTGCAGGGGGTCTTGTACCCACATTTGGGCTGCACCTCCCCCAGCAGTGGCCTGGGCTCCTCCAAAGTGTTTTGGCCGAGTCTTGGAATCAAAGTGCAGATTGTAAAATGTGACCCAGCCTGGGAGGCTCCAGGCAGGCGGGCACAGGGCTCAGGGTGTCTGGTTGCAGGTTGGCAAGGTGGTTGCAAACAAACAGGGCACAACAGTCCCATTCTGGCACAGTCATGGTTGCAGGACCCAGCCAGCAGGCACCAGTGCCACCCCCAGGCAGCCATCCAGTGCTTCTGCAGCTCTCTGTGCCCTTTTGCTTTGCTGGGGGATTTGGGCACCAGAGTGCTGGGGTTGCCCAGTACATGCCCATCTTGCCCCCGTGAGTCCCTGGTGCCTAGTGCTGGGCAGGTCGAGGGTTACAGTCACTCATCATGGTCCCACATGAGCTGAACCCAGCCCAGGGCTGACCAGAGCTCTTCCCAGAATGCCCTGGCATCCCCAGTTCCCACCCCAGGTGACCCCTGTCTCCTCTGGTTCCCCCGACTCACCGAGCACCCCCATCTCCCCAGAATGACTCGCTGATGCGGCAGATGCGGGAGATGGAGGAGCGCTTTGCAGGGGAGGCCGGCGGGTACCAGGACACCATTGCCCGCCTGGAGGAGGAGATCCGGCACCTGAAGGATGAGATGGCCCGGCACCTGCGTGAGTACCAGGACCTGCTCAACGTCAAGATGGCCCTGGATGTGGAGATCGCCACATACCGCAAGCTGCTGGAGGGAGAGGAGAACCGGTGAGTGGAAGGGGGCAGGACAAGCTGGGGAGACCTGCAGGGTCAGCGGTTTTTTGGAGGTCCAACTTTATGAGGACACACCTGAGGGCTAGGGCTGGCTGGAACTAAGCTTTCCCCTCTGTTTTCCCACAGGATCAGCATTCCCATGCACCAGACATTCGCTTCTGCACTCAATTTCCGAGGTGAGTCTCACTCCATGAGGAGGAGGACCTGGGATGAGTCCCCCGTGTTCCCCACTTTTGGGGCATATGTCCCTCCTGGGAGGTTGTAGCCCGGCTGGCAGGCTGGGGACACACAGGTGCCACACAGAGCCCCTGGTATGGGGGCACTTATTAGGGTGTTGCTGTGAGCTGAGGGGGGGTTAAACCAAAGCTGTTGAAGCTCCTCGGTGACTCCAGCCCCACGGCTGTGTCCCCATGCCACACGTCCCTGTGGTGCCATCCTCTGTGTCCTCCCCCTACAGAGACCAGCCCAGAGCAGCGGGGCTCCGAGGTGCACACCAAAAAGACCGTGATGATCAAAACCATCGAGACCCGTGATGGGGAGGTGAGCGCAGGGTGGCTCCGGAGGGTGCTGGCGAGGCAAGGGACCGAGGGCAGCGCCTGCTCCCACACCCGGGGCTCTGCTGTGACACGGCATGGCCTCTCACGGTGCCTCTCTCCCACAGGTGGTGAGTGAGGCGACTCAGCAGCAGCATGAAGTGCTGTAGAGGAGGCTGCGCCAGCAGCCCACCGGCACCTTCTGTCCCTGCCTCTGTCCCTCCGCCATGCCCCCCTCCTGCCCCCCAGCTCGCCTCTCGGCGCTCCCCTGGCACTGCCTGAGGAGTCTCCCCCATGCAGCTGCCTCTGGGCCCCCCGCATCCCCTGGGCTCTCTCCTCCGGCTTCTAAAGGCTCGCTCTGCTTTCGCAGCTTCGCAGCAGCAACGCCAGCGTCAGGATCAGGCCGGGGCCGGGGGGCGGCAGGAGGGAGGGACGGGACAGGTGGCAGGGGCTGGGGGGAGCAGGTGGTGGCCTGGGCCAGCTCCACGGAGAGCCGGACGGTCCCAGCAGCGGGTTCTGGATCCCCCCAGAGTCCCCTTCCCACCCTGGGCACAGGCTTGGGACTCATGCCCCTCCACCGGCACCGCCGGCCGCCCCGGAGCTGGCACTCCTCCAGGTGCAGGGCGGCGATGCTAGGGATGGGGAGAAGCTAGGCATGGTCTGGGCTGAGCCCCCTATTCTCTGCCCAGCTCAGAGAGAGGGGCCCAGCCTGTGTGTCCCCCCAGCCCAGGGGGGCTCGGGCCCCTCGCTCCCCCGGCCCCAGAGGCAGCCCCGTGGGGCAGAGGAGGGCAGTGCCCGCCCCTCCCCGTGGCGGGGACCCCCAGCAGCAGGAGGCTGCACCGTGGGGCCAGGCTCATCAGCCGAGAGGGTACCCGTAGGTGGACACAGGAGAGAGGAGGAGTGAGTGAATGGGAGAGAGGGGGGAGAGGATGAGAGGAGCCGGAGAGAGGCCCGGGGGGCCAGGGCAGGCATCCCCAACCCTTGCCCCAATGCACCCCCACCCCACCACGTGTATGAGACTCTTCAGGCGGCTGAAATAAACAGCGGAGCATCACCCTGTGGTCTCAGTGCATCTCTGGGGCAGAGGGGGGGTGGGGAGGCAGCACCTTGGGGAGGCATCACAGGGGCCAGGTGGATGGATGAGCCAGCAGCTCTTTGGGCTGCCTCCTCCCTCGGCTGCTGGCCCCCCCAAAAGGTGTGTGTGTGTCTCACACTGAAAGTTCTCGAGCATTTTGCTGCCTGGGGTGGTGGGTTTCCCAGTTGCACTGGGTGGGAAAGTCCTGCTGGGACAGGGAACAGTGACAGCTAAGCCCTGAGCAGGTTCAAAGGGGCTCTGTGTGATGGTGCTGTATCTCCCTCACACACCCAGGGTCACATACCATGTCCTGGTGGCTCTCAGCTCCACAGCCACCTCCTTTTTTACCCCAACCTGGAACCTACCCAAATCCACATCTGCCTGGGACTTTTCCAAGCCCCTCCAAGTGTCACCAACCTGCAAGCAGAGCCATCCTCATTCCTAAGTGTCCTACACCCCTGCACCCTGTGAGCATCAGACCCACCACCCTGTGCTTGCATCCCAGGCTCAGCCTCCAGCCTCAGCCTGCCAACACCATATCTCTCTTCATCCCAACACACATGCCCTCTCCCTGTGCTCAGGTTGTGGGCATTTCGGCTTCAGCTCCTTCATCCCAGCAATGGGAGATGCTGCAGTGGAGCCCAGAGCTGAGCATCCCATGTGGGAGAGCAATTCAGGATTGCTCTGCCCTGGGAGATGTTGGAGGGTCCACAGAAGTCTGCCAGCAGCAGATGCCAGGGGGGCAGTGGGCTTGGCACAGGGTGATGCTTAAGGGACAAGGCATGTGCTACTGCCAGCAGTGGGGAGTGGTCTGGGGGTGTCCCTGATGGAGAGGCCAGCGTGGCAAACCCCAGCTGGGAGGTTGGATCTCAAGGGATATCTCCAGCAGGTGGCCCTGTGACATCGTGGACAGTCCCCAGGCTTACTTGGGTTGGGATGACATCTCCCTCGCTGCCGGCCCATCTGGCTGTGCCAGAGTTCAGCCCCTGGGGGCAGGCTGGGGACAAACATTCCTTTGCCTGCAGGGCAGGGAAGAGGCCCCCAGGCCTCTTCTGGGGCTGGCTCCACCACTCTGCAGCCAGCCTGTGGGTCTAGCAAGGCATCCCATCCCACTCCACTGTGCCCCAGCCATCCAAGCTGGGAAATCCTGGGATTTCCTCCTTGCCAGTGATGCTCTCCACTGATGCTGGCACCCTTAGGCTGGTGGCAGTGGGCTGTGCCAGAGCTGCCGGGGCTGGCCTGCAGCTGGGAAGCGCCGTGTCATGTGGCTGGCCTCCTGCTCACGCAGATTTACAGCCCCTGGCGCGGCGGCTGGGGCCAGGTGCCGAGGCTGCCGAGGCTCCAGGAGATGGGGAAGCCCTGCCATGCCCAGGGATGGCCTGGCAGCACCTGGCACAGACCGTGCCTGACTGCTGGCTGCCCGGAGCCCGCCGTGTGGTAGCTCCCACAGGATGCCCCGAGGCCGAGCAGCTCCAGCAGGGCTGGCGGGAGCCACATTGCCCAGGGCAGAGGCAGGGGCTCAGTGAGAGAATTGGAGTCCTGCTGTGTTTGCAGCCTTCCGGGCAGGGAGGATTGTGGTGGTCAGGGATGCTGGGAGCCCCAGCTCTGCTGCCTGCTGGGATCGGAGCTAAGGGGCCCTGAAGGGCTGGCTCCTGCCCCGGGTCTTGCGATGCAGGAAGCATGACGGTGTCCTTTCCCTCCACATGCCGTCAGGGTCTCTCTCTGCCCCGATCCAATGACACTGCCGGAGAAGGGGAAGCGGGGGAGGAAGGCTGGGTCCCCCCCGAGCCTCTCAGCTAATATGGAAAGGTGCTGGCCCTTTTCTATCTTTGCAAGTGGAGCTGGGCTGCAGGGACGGGGCAGCAGGCGCAGAGAGGGGGAGCCCAGCCAAGGAATGTGACATATCAGAGGCAGCTGCCACTTCAGGAGAGGGGGCAGAGGGAGCGCAGCTCGCCGGGGGCTGCGGGACGGGCCGGGTGAGGGGGGGGACGCCACGGCCCCGGCACGGGGACGGCGCAGCGAGCGGGCAGCACCCGCGGGACTCGCACCGGGCCGGCGAGGAGCAGGTGCCGAGGCGCTGGGCGGGCGTGGGGCTGCAGCAGAGCGCGGGGTGTGAGCGCCACGCTGCACCGGGCGCTTGGTGAGGGGCGGCTGGGCGAGCAGGAACGCGAGTCCCAGCCTAAATATAGTCCCTCGCTTGCCCACAGCGCTGCGACCTCTGGGGCTGCAGCCTGTGGGGGGAGGCACCGCACCGGAGGGCATTCGGACTGGGGGGGGTCGCCACTGCCCCAGCGCCCCAGTCAGGCACCCGGCGCCCCCAGACTGCAGGCAGGGGGAGAAGAAGGGCACAACGTGCGGGTTTGGGGTGACAGGGGCGGCGGGCGGTGCTGGGGGAGCTGCAGACCATGCACCGGGCACAGGGGCGCAGCGGCACCAGCAGGGCTGCCGGGGAGCCTCGGGCGGCCCCGCCGAGCCCCGGCATCCCCCCGAAGCGCGCCAAGGTCACAGCAGAGCCGGGGCCGGCCCAGGAGGGCTCAGCTCGCCTGGCAGCGCCGAGCTTTGTGAGGAAACTGAAGAATGCAGCGATCGGCACCGGCTGTGACATCCGGCTGCGAGTGGTGGTGGTGGGCAACCCCCGGCCCAGCCTCCGCTGGTACCGAAACGAGGAGCAGCTGGCCCAGGGTGGGGAGGAGTATGGCACCCTCTGGATCCGGGACAGCAAGAAGGAGGATGCCGGTGTGTACACGTGCGTCGCTGAGAATGAGCAGGGAGAGGCCATGACCAGTGCTGTGCTGGCCATCATGGACATGGAAGGTAAGGGTGACGTGGCCACCAGCACGGCAGCAGTGCTGGCACAGACCTTGGCACAGGTTTGCTGAGAGTGGCAGCAGTGTTTGCAGGCTCTTGCTGCAGTGCATGCCCTGGGGCCAGACAGGGCTGCTGGGCTTTGCTGTGTCCACCCTGCTGCCGGCTGGGGTGGCTCTCCAGCCTGGTGCGAGCATGTGGCTGCAGTACCCGCTGCCAGGCCAGTCTGGGTGCCAGGACTGGGCACAGAGGTGTTGGGAGCATGTGATGCCAAGCCTGCTCGGGGCAGGAGGAGAGAGAGAGAAAAGAGAGAGAAGAGAGAGAGAGATGAGGATTGGGCACATGGTACTGGTGGTACCACCCACCAGAGCCACCAACACGGTCCCAGCACCCCCCACCAGCTGCCCACGGGCAGAACTCCCGCAGGCTCACCATAACAGCTTTACCAGGCATTGGAAATGCACTGGGTAAACTGGAACGCCAGTGGGGCTAGGAGGAGGAGCCTAATGTGAGAGGTGGGGCTGGCAAGTAGGTGGAGCTTGTGCGCTTCGATGTATGAGACCTGGTAGTTAATTAGCCAAGGCAAATTAACAAGCATTTGCTCATCCCAGTGGCAGCCCCTCTGCTCATCATCATCACCCCTGGGCGTAGCAGTCAGAGAGGGAGTGTGTGGAGAGTGCTGCCCTTCCATGGGTGGGCTCCATCCTGCAGGTTTGGGACTCAGCCCCCTCTGCCTCATCACCGTGGAATCATGCAATTATAGAGTTATTTATGTTGGAAAAGACCTCTAAGATGATCAATCCAACCCTTAACCCAGCACTGCCAAGCCTACTGTTAAACCATGTCCCTAAGTGCCACATTCATGTGTTTCCTGAATAGCTCCAGTGATGGTGACTCCACCACTTCCCTGGTCATTCTGTCACAGTGCTTGACAACCCTTTTGGTGAACAAGTTCTTCCTCGTGGAGGATGGATGCCCCCTCCCTAGGACACTGAAGGCCTGAGTGTTGGGCAGTGTGGAGGCGGGTGGTGCTGCTCTGAGATGTGAGATGTGCTGTCTGCAAGGGACAGTGAGGATGGGACTGAGGGAAGCAGCACTGAGCCCTGAGGCTCCAGGGAAGGAGCTGCACTGGCACTCTGCAGCACAGGAGGCACACCAGAGATGCTGCACCTTGAGCAGGGGGCTGGATGACTGTGGCAGGTCAGGAGGAGCCATCACAATGCTGAAGGGGAGCACTGAGGCAGGAGCCTGGAGAAGTGGTGTTTGGAGGATGGAGGAAGGTTTGTGTGCAGGTCAGGAGCCTGGTGGGGTAGCAGGAGGAGCAGAGGAGCGTGCAGCAGGGGTTCTGCCCTGCAGTGAGCCTGTGTGGAGTCACTGTGCATCACACAGTGGTCCCTTGGGGACCGTGCACCTTTGGTGCAGTTGGGTGTGGGGTGAAGTGTGTGCAGAATGG